TTTCTCCCTCTCTCTCTCCCTTACAGTCTGAAAAAGCAATGGAAAAAATTTCCTCAGGTGGGCTAAAAACAAAAGATGTGCTAATCTAGATGCATGAGAACAATGGAGAAGGCTTGCTTAAGGCAAAGATAAACCTACTTAAAACAGTTACATGCTTGGGGCGTGACTACCCACCATGACCTGCCCGGTTAGGCATTAACTCCCCATTACAGGACTTGCCGGGTTTATTACAGAACCCCCTTTTTGTCCAGAGAGTTTTCTTTTGAGTGTTGGGATTATGAGGAATTACTGTCTTGTATACACTTTCCCTTGTTTTCTAAAATGCTCAAGAATAATTTTTCTAATTAGAAAAGAAAATGTGTAATGGCCTTGACTGGCTGTCTTTTCCCTCACCCAGCACTGTGCTGCTTGGGTTAGGCCTGGATCTGCAATCCAAGGTCCTGGTTAGCATTCACCCTCCTCGGTGTCTTCATGGCCTGGCATTCTGTACCGTTTGCTAAAGTCTAAAAAATAGACACCAGCTGATAGGAATTTTGCTAGACAGGTAAATAAAATGCTTTATATGACTTTACGTCTTTTATCAACAAAGGAATAAAATCATTGAATATCTATATTTGTATACACCAGAGTTTTGCAAACCCTTCCAGAGCCTGAAGATGGAGGCAGGGCAGAAGACTAAGGACCGAGTCCTCTCGTTTGGAAAAGCTAGTCAAACCAGCAGCAAGAGCTGATTTTCCATTCCTTGGCGATTACCTAATTATTTCACTGTGCCCCTTAACAAAAAGCGCCCATTCAAATTGCTCCTTATGGGCAAGTTCCATTCTTTTCTCTAAATACCCTACTCTTTTCTTCTACTGACTCATCCAATCTGCTCTTGCCTATAATTAATAATAGAGCATCTAAGCTCCGTACCCACCCTGGAGAAAACTGGCAACTCATATAGACAAGGAAAAGTGGTTAATAGACATTTAAAAAATATTCACTATCTTAAAGAAAAGAGAACATAATCACTCTCAATGCTATAGTCAGCTGTCTGCTTTGTAAAGGACCCATCCCAACATTCAGCCCCTTTAGAGTTACCAGTATATTAGGTACTATTATGCAGAAGCAGTTTAGCTATTTGCATTCAGTAATATTGTTAGGTGGTCAATAATATTGTTAGGAGAAGATCAGAGAAATGATGCTGTCCCACACCACCTTCTTTCCGCTGTTCCCCGTTGGCGTGAGGCCGAAAGGAGGCTTGAGATGATACTGGGTAATGTCTAAGAAAGGCTAGGAGGGGGGGACAGTCAGTTCCTTGATTGGGCTGCCAAATATGTTCTCCTACTGTAGTGTTTCTCTTTGACCACCCAGCAAATCAGTGGCTCGCTGGTCTTGAAGAACAAAGTTGGCAAATTTTCTTGTAAGGGCCACATAGGCGGAGCCAAAGTAAAGGGTCAGCTTATGGAGAGGAGGCGAGTGTCTCATCCAAGTCCACAGCTCGAAGGAAAACCAACGGGATCTCTGCTCCAAGTGCACGCATTAGGCCCTTCTGGTGATAGGAGGGGGCAGCACCCCGGAGTTATATTTTCCCCTTTAAGTCCTTTCAGACACAGGACTATTCCTTGGCTGGTTTTCAGGAGGGAAGCTTGCCCACAGGTGTTAGAGGGACTTCCATGGAGCTTGGGACGCTGCGAGGTCTCTCAGGTAGTTCAGGTCAGCCTGGAGCCTGGAAATGCCGGCGTAGACCACAGGCTCCCTTCTAGAAGCTGGAAAGACACTTGCAAAGCCGCTCAGTAGCCCTCCCGCTGCGTCTCTGGAAGCCGAGGTGGCTTTCTCATCCGCATGAACACAGTGGACATTGTGAGGCCTGTAAACAGCCCTGAAGAGCCTTTCTAATGGATCGAGGTCTTTGTGGGTGACCATGACATATGCCAAAGGGAACTCAGCTTGGCCTTTAGACAGAGGTTTCATTAAGTAGCAATCCTGGATCAAGTGTTGTTGGCCAGCAATGTTTCTCAAAGGTGTCATCGGTATATTTTCATCTAAGAAGATTTTCTTTCCTGTCACAGCCATGTCACACACTTCTACAAGGACTGGGGAGTTTGAGATTTTTCTCACTTGCCACTATTTCTGCAGGACTAAATTATTGGTCTACAGGAACAAAAGAGGTAAAAAAAAACACCCAAAAAACCCACTGTGAGTCCTATAGTAAACCTGACCAGCCAACTCAGCTTCTTGTTTCTGCATCATCCCTTTTATTTGTCACTTGCAGGACTTCATACCATTGCTGAAGTCAGTGCATCCCCAGCCTGTTGAGAAATCTCCTCCAACTTCTTATTTTGAGCAAGAGAAATATTGCCTCTCATTTACAGGGCAGGGGTCAACCACAAGCCTGCATTTCTCTTATTTACATTGAAGGGATTGAGTGGATGTGAGAACGTGGGCCACTGGGGCAAGAGCAGTGGGTACCTCTGTCCAGGTCAATCTCAAATTAAGACCCTGGCAGATGGGCCACAGCTACCAACTCAGGCTGCTCTTGCCATGTGAGGTGAGGATAGAGTGTGTCTCCGTCTTGCGGCCCTTTCCCCCTGAGTCAGCCGCCATCACAATCACTTGATGTCACCTTTGAACACATGGGATGATATATTTCTTCCACCTTGGGCAGTCTCAGTTGTCACGAGGCAGGTCTCCATCGTCAGCTGCATCAACAGCATCCGGAATTGCTCAATAGTAGTGTTTCTCTTTATCTAAAAACAAAAACCAAGAGCTCATAGAGCCTCATAGATGGAGAACACTGAATATGAACTATAACTAACACGCTGCCTCGCTCTTGCCTCTGTTATGTCACTGGCGGCCTGTGAGGTGAGCCCTGACATTACATACACTTTGCATGTGAAATCGAAGCCCTCGTGTGGGCCGACTTGCCTGAGAGCCAGTAATGAGTTAACGAGAGCATCGGGCCTTGATCCTAACTCTTCTGATTTCACAGGCCTTCTACCTGGAATATTCTCTCCCCACACCTTTTTTTTTCTTTTAATCCTCCCAAAGGATATTTTTTCCATTGCTTTTCAGAGAGAGTGGAAGGGAGGGAGGGGGGTGAGGGGGAGAGAGAGAGAGAAACATCGACGTGAGAGAGACACGATGACTGGTTGCCTCCCACACATGGCTTGACTGGGGGCGGGGACCACAACCCAGGCAGGTGCCCTTGACCAGGAATCGAACCCTCGACCCTTGGGTGCTCTGGCTGAAGCTCTAACCGCTGAGCACAGCAGCCTGGGCCACCCCTTTTCTTGATAAGTTCCTCTCATCGACATCCATCACGTCCCTATGCGACATCGCTTTCCTGGTGTCCCCTCCCTTCCCTCCCAAGCCTGGGTTAGGAGCCCTTCCACTTGCCCTGATAGGACCTTGTGCCCTTCTAATGGCTCGTTTGCTCTCTTCGCCACTAGCCCATGGAGGACTATTTCTGTCTCCTGACCCCTGTGTTTTTAGCACCTGGCTAAGGTGGATTAAGTCTCTGCTACTTCTCCCTCTACACTAGGGGTCAGCAAAACTATGGTAGAGAGAGTGGGGAAGGGGGGTCGGGGTGCCCAATTGGGCCGCCACATGGTTTTGTACAGCCTGTGAGCTAAGAATGATTTTGCATTTTCAAATGGCTGAAAGAAAAAGCCAAAGAAGAAAAATATTTTGTGACATGTAAAAATTATGTGAAATTCAAATTCACTGTCCATGAATAGCAGCCACACTCATTTGTGTACGAATTAGCTATGGCTGCTTTCACAGTGCAGCCGCAGAGCTGGCTGGTTGCAGCAGAAACCATCTGGCCGCCAGAGCCTAAAACATTTGCTATCTAACCCTTGACAGAAAAGGTTTGCTGTAATTACTGATGCTTTTGCTAACCATATGTTTCTGCTACATCAAGATGACTGTTTTGGACTTGACACTGTTTTACAACTTTTCCTTTATTTTCTAGATTTTCTTGTGACATCATATTTAGTAGCATGGCATGGGCTTTAAAGAGAGACTTGTGTGGGTTTGGTTCCTGGTTTTGCTGGTTCTTAGCTGTGTGGCCTGGGCAAGTTGCTCTGCCTTTCTGTTTCAGTTTCATTGTCTGTAAAATAAAGATAATACCAATATAAATGCTAGCTATTATTTTTTAAAATTTATTGTTTGTTTTTGTGGTTTTTTTTAGAGAGGGAGAAAGAGGAAGGTGCATTCATTGATTGCTTCTTGTATGTGCCCTGACCAGAGATGGAACCTGCAACCTTGTTGCATTGGGATGACGCTCTAACCAACTGAGCTACCCAGCCAGGGCCAAGGCTAGCTACTGTTGTGACCTGCATATGGTCACTTTTGAATTTACCTGCACGTTAATGAGCTGGAAATTCAGCACTGCATTTAGTCTGACCACGGTCGCCCAAACTTTGGCAAGATGTGGTGCTGCCACATAGTGGCCTAGTACAGTGTAGCTTGACATCTTTCCTTTTAGGCGGTTGAAAATCTTGCGGATGAGAGGTAGGGAGAATATTTATGGCGTTATGGGAGTATTTTATTTCCAACTAGACTGGGAACAACTTGAAAGGAAGAACCTTCTAAGAAGTAAGGAGTGCTCAACATGGCATTTGAGGGGCACTAAAAAAGTCACCGCTCCCGAGATCTCAACCCCACCACCAGCCAAGTTTTCCACAATGACATTAAAAAGGCCTCATAAGGAGGCAAATTGAGTTATTTGAGAAAGATGACAGTGTCTTATCAAGCCATTAGCAACTAATGACGCTCAATAGAAGTTCTGAAAAAATGGGGCAAGAACAGGTTGGATTAGATGGGAAAAAAGCAAGTGAGGTCTGGAATATGGGGTGCTATTGGGGATCCTTTGGAATGTGCGGCGTGGAGGCAGCCAGGAGAGGATACGAAGGCAGTAAGATGCATCTGGGCCGTGTACCATCACATATCATTCAGTTTCAAAATTAGAGATACTCTTAAAAATCAAAAAGTTCCCCATGTCCTAGGCATACTCCCATCAAAATTAAGTAGTTTCATTTTAATGCTTTTCGTATACTTTGAATATCAAATTTTAAATTCTCACTATTTTTTCTCTAGAAAAGTTAAATGGCTATATAAGAGGACAGTCCGTGGATAGAACCAGAAAGAAGCTGAAAGTTCACCTTGTCCCATGCTGTCATTTACAGGAGAAAGCAAAGTGGAAGGTGCCTTGCCCAACATCGCACAGCGACTGGGCACTGGACCTGGTCACTCCTGGTGCCCTGCAAGATGCTGGTTCCAAAAAGGTTTTCTACCTTCGTCTGATAGAGAGGAGTTCAGGAAACAAAGACTTACAGGCCCTTCTCGAAGCCCAACTCACTCTTCAACTGAAGGACAAATTAAACAAAGGGTGAGATGACCATAACTTCATGAGATTTGTTCTTATAATCAGTTTCTACCCTCAGAAACCTAAGCTAAAGATAATATTTGTGTTTTTCAAAGAGGCTGGTAAAATATTTGCACTTTGAAGCACAGCATGATAACACTGATTTGGGCCAGTCTTATCAAAATTAGGTAAACAGATCCAAAGTAAAACAAACATGATTTGGGAACCTTTGTGGTGAAAGTCAACAGTTATATTCAGACTAATAACATTTATATTTATGAATGTTCTCTATATTCTTAGCTCTTTTCTATAATAGATTATTTCTCATAAAAACAAGAGTTCACCCAATACATCAGTTTATTTCCAAGCACTTACTCAATGTCTCTAGCATGAGGTCCCATTGCAGACTCTTCACCCCTCTTCCCACCCACCTCCCCACCCTGGCCTTCCCTGTTTGACATTCTTGCATTTCTGTAAAATTAACTGGAGTGGAAGAGTAGCTTTCACTCAGGTGCACTCACTGCCACAGGGAAATTTGGCCCAGCCTGCTTTACTAGTCCCCACTACTGAAATCTGAAACCTGGTAGAGTTCAAATTCTACCCCTAATCACTGGCAATCAAGACTTGTTAAAGCATTTGTTTTTATTGTGGTAAAAAGCTCATAACGTAAAATTTACCATTTTGACCATCTTTAAGTGTTTAAGTGTACAGTACTGAAGTGCTAACCCTACATATATTGTTGTGCAACAGAGCTCCACAACTTTCCCACCTTGCAAACTGAAACTTTATACCCATTGAAGAATGCCCACGCCCCCTGGCCCACCCGCCGCATTCCTGGTAACCACAGTCTACTGTTCTTTCTACGAGTCTGACTACTGTGGATGCCTCATATAAGTGAATCCCTTTGTGGCTGACTGATTTCCCCCAGCATCACGTTCACTGAAGCATTTTTGACGTGCACTGATCTATCCAACAAATGTGAGCTGAGGGCCTCGTAGGGCTAGCATTCTCAGGAAATCCATTTGTAAAACAATAACAATAGCAGTTTGGATTTGTGAGTGTTTTCACATCTATTATTTCATTACCATTTAAAGCAGGGCTTCTCAGCCTCAGCACTGGTGACATTTTGGACCAGATGATACTTTGCTGTGGCGGCTGGCCTGTGGGCTGCAGGATGCTTGCAGCATCCCTGCCTCTGCCCACTAGATACCAGTAACACCCCCCCACTTATGGCATCCAAAACTGTCTTCAGACATTGCCAAATGTCTCCTATGGGACAACCTTGGACCAATAAGCTAACTTCTAAAAGCAGTAAAAGAAAGCTAACTCGCTGCACTCTGTGAGGCTTTGTGTAATACCTAGTAAGTATTGTATGAAGCTACACAGCAGGCAATTAAATAAGAGTTCTTATTATTTAATAATAATATACAAAAGATATAAAATTCATTAGCTAAATAATAATTGTGACTCATTAATGTGACATTAGTTGACAGAGGTTCACTGGATGTGAATTATAATATTTTTATTCTAAATCTGTCTCCCCCTCTAAGTCGCTATGTGATGTTGGCAAAACCACTGAGTCTTTCTCCCTGGGTCTCAGTTTCACCAACTGTAAAGGAGAATGAAATAAACTTGCCCTGTGTACTTTATGAGGCTATAATGAGATTAAAATTATATAATGAAAGGAAGGTACTTTGAAAGTATA